ACACAGGGGAGAAGCCACATCAATGCAACGAATGTGGACGATTCTATCGTACCTCCATCGCCCTCAAAAGTCATGTGAAAATTCACACAGGGGAAAAAAACTACAAATGTTTAGACTGTGGGAGAACATTTGCTCATGCGTGTTCCCTCAGAAAGCACAGCCGAATCCATACAGGAGAGAAGCCCCATAAATGCTCGGACTGCGATAAATGTTTTTCTCTGAAAGATTATCTTGTGAAACATCAGCGAACCCACACTGGAGAAAAACCATACAAATGTGGGGAGTGTGGGAAATGTTTTTCACAAAAACAACACCTTGGAACGCATCAGAGGGTCCACACAGGAGAGAAGCCATACAGATGCGTAGAATGTGGAAAGTGTTTTACTCAAAAGGGAGACCTTTGGACACATCATAAAACCCACACAGGGGAGAAGCCCTATCAATGCAACGAATGTGGACAATTCTATTGTACCTCATCCGCCCTTAAAAGTCATGTGAAAATTCACACAGGGGAAAAAAATTACAAATGTTTAGACTGTGGGAGAACATTTGCTCATGCGTCTTCCCTCAGAGACCACAGCCGAATCCATACAGGAGAGAAGCCCTATAAATGCTCGGAGTGCGATAAATGTTTTTCTCGGAAAGATACTCTTGTGAAACATCAGCGAACCCACACTGGAGAGAAACCATACAAATGTCTGGAGTGTGGGAAATGTTTTGCCCATCCTTCGTCACTTCGCATACACACCAGAAATCACACAGGATAGTGGCCTTATAAGTTTGTAGAGTGTGAGAAACCTTTTCATTGTAAATCAGAATTAAAAATGCATCCAAATGTCCATAGCAGAAATAAACCTCTTCCGCTGTGAATGTTGAAAACATTTGTTTCCCCAAAAGTCACATTTTAATGTTAACCAGGAACATCACACAGTGACAGAAGGGAAATCCTACTATTGTTTGGTGTGGGGAAAATGTTTTTCCTACTCAAGTAGCCTTAAATACCATAATCAAGGAAAACTACATAAATGTTGGGAGTGTTAAAAAGTTTGGCACACAAAGCAGCAGCGCTAGTACGTTAACAGAGTGATTACCAGGGCTTTTTTTCAGCCGGAACGCGGCGGAACCGCGTTCCGGCACCTTTTTTCGGGCCGGCCGCACCGGGCGCAACATCTGGGGGGGCGCGCTCGCACTCGCAGCTCTCTGCCCCTGCCTGGCTCACAACCGCGGCCATAGGGAGGCTCGGTCGGCGCGCCCCTGGCCCGTTTCCTAGGCGACCCTGCCCGAGCAAGAAGCGGCAGAGAATCCAGAGGCTCTCACGCCGGCGCCCTCAAAGCCAAACGCGC